ATACTGGCAGGCACAGCTGTCATGGACTACAACCTCAATATTCACTTAGTGGACAAATGTGACATGCAGATTGGGTTTGCTGATTGTGTACACAAGAGTTATAAGTGGTATATAAAACTTTTTTTCCAACTTGTTGATATTTCCATGCTAAATGCTTATAACATATACAAGTTGAGGACCAACAACAAACCAAAATACGGTGAATTTTGTTTGTCAGTCATCAGACAAATAATCGCCAAGTATCAAGGAGCAACACCTGCAATAGACCAGCGCCCACGAAATTACCAAAATACACCATCTCGTTTGAGGCCTGGTGATCACTACCCCATACAACTGCCTCCTACTGCTTTCAAGAAAAGTGCTCAGAAGAGGTGTTTTGTATGTGGACATACCACAAAACACCCACAAACATGCAGAGACACTTGTTTTATGTGTGAGGAGTGTCAAGTGCCACTCTGCATATACCCATGCTTCAAGGAGTTCCATAAGCTGCAGCAGTTCTAGGAAAGTGTTCAGTGACTGTACATCTGTATATATATTATGGAACAATAGTAATAAACAATGTTTTGTATTGTTTGTTTGTGTAAAAAAGTTTTATACACAAACTAATAGTGATAATGTTTGTTCAGTTATTGTGTTGTAAACAATGAGTGTATATTTGAACATTGCATCTTACTTTGGTCTCACAGGCCACATAAATTACTTAGAAAAGAAAAATACTGGAAAATACAAGAAACCTTCGAACTGGAGTAAATAAAAGAATACCGGGTGGGCGGCATTCGCCGCTGTTGCCATATGCCGCTCATTTTCTGCCAACTTTGTGCCTCTGTATCTCGGTAAGTACTGATGGCAAAAATTTTTTTTAGGCTTAAAACACTCAGTAAAATAATCCAAACGTTTTGGTAAGAATTTTTTTTTTTTTTCGAATATTTTGCGACATAGAATGACAGTTTCAGAAAGGGGCCTGCGACAGTCAAAGGGTTAAGGGTCTTCAATCTTTCTTCATAAGGAAGATTTCTAATGCTATGTATTAATTTAGTCATTCTATGCTGAATGTTTTCTAATGAATTTATGTCCATTCTATAATATGGAGACCAGAACTGAGCGGCATAATCTAGGCGAGGCCTTACTAATGATGTATAAAGCTAAAATATAACCTCTGAACTTCTATTGCTTACACTTTTTGATATATATCCCAGTAATCTGTTTGCCTTATTACGTACACTTAGGCATTGCTGTCTTGGTTTAAGGTTACTGCTTATCATATCCCCCAAGTCCTTTTTGCAATCTGTATGGCTAAGTTCCACATTATTTAACTTATAAGTGCTAGGGTTATGGACACTCCTGAGCTTCAGAACCTTGCATTTATCTACATTGAACTGCATCTGCCACTTTTCTGACCAGGTACTGAGTTTGTCTAAATCCTCCTGAAGTTCCCTGATATCTACGTTTGAATCAATTATCCTACCTACCTTTGTGTCATCGGCGAATTTGCTCATCTCAATTGTAATTCCCTCATCAAAATCATTGATATATATTATAAACAACAACGGGCCCAAGACTGATCCCTGTGGAACGCCCCTTGTTACAGATCCCACCTCGGATTTAACCCCATTTAAGGACACTCTCTGCTTCCTGTCCGTGAGCCATGACTTGACCCATGAGAGCACTTTTTCCCCAATGCCATGAGCCGCCACTTTCTTTAACAGTCTTTGGTGTGGTACTAAAATCTAAGTAAACAACATCAAATTCTTTATCATGATCAACAGCCTCAAAAGCTTTACTGTAGAAAGTTAATAAATTAGTTAGACAAGAACGGCCTCTCGTGAATCCATGCTGAGTATCATTAAACAGATTATGCTTATCCAGATGGCTTCTTATAATCTCAGTTATAACTGATTCTAGCAATTTGCCTACAATTGAGGTCAGGCTTATCGGGCGGTAATTTGACGGTAACGACTTGTCTCCTGCTTTAAAAATAGGAATTACAATAGCCACCTTCCACATATCAGACACTACACCTGTTTGAAGAGATAAATTAAAAATATTAGTTAATGATTCACAGAGTTCCATTCTGCATTCCTTAAGAACCCTTGAAAAAAGCTCATCAGGACCCGGTGACTTATTTTGTTTCAGTCAGTCAATTTGTTTCATAACCATTTCACTAGTGACTGTGATGTTATATAATTTATCCTCTTCAGGACCACTATAAAAATTAATTACTGGGATATTGTTAGTGTCTTCCTGCATATAAACCGAGATAAAATAATTATTTAAAATCAAGCACATTTCAATCTCTTTGTCAGTAAGATGCCCATATTTATTTTTAAGGCCTATCTTATCTCTAACTTTTGTTCTATATACCTGGAAAAAACTTTTTGGGTTAGTTTTTAAATCCCTAGCAACTTTAATTTCATACTCCCGTTTAACTTTTCTTATCCCCTTTTTAACGTCCCTCTTAATGTCAATATACTGATTCATAAGATGACCCTCATCTCTTTTGATACGCCTATAAATTCCTTTCTTCTGCCCTAAAAGATATTTGAGCCTATTATTCATCCATTTTGGGTCATTTCTGTTTGATCTAATTTCCTATTATGGGATAAATGTTTTTTTGGCAGCATGTATTGTGTTAAGAAAGCTGTCATACTGATAGCTCTCTTTGTTACCCCAGTCCACAGATGAAAAGTGTTCTCTAAGCCCATTGTAATCTGCTATGCGAAAATCTGGGACCATTACTGAATTATTTCTACTGTCATACTTCCATTCTATGCTAAAGGTAAGTGATTTGTGATTGCTTGTGCCGAGTTCCTCTGTAACTTCTAAATTATTAACAAGGGTTTCCTTGTTTGCCAGAACCGAGTCAAGCAGGTTATTTCCCCTTGCAGGTTCTGTCACAAACTGCTTCAAAAAATAATCCTGAACTACTTCTAAGAAGTCATTTGATTCTAAATTCCTAGTCAAGACTTTCCAATCAATCTGACTAAAGTTAAAGTCTCCTAGAATTACTACATTATCATGCCTTGTGGCCTTAACAATTTCCTCCCATGGTAATCTCCCTTGGTCCCTATCTAAGTTTGGAGGATGGTATATCACTTCTAGCCCTTAAACTGTCCAAACGTAGATCCACGTTTGCTTGCGTAGCGCTCCGAATGTAGATCTACGTTTTTTTTACATTCTTTCTTACGGAGAAAATCAAGGGCTGAGCGCTACGCGCACAAATGTAGATCTACATTTGAACAGTTAGAAGGTTAAAATCAATTTTTCATGCCCCTCTGAAAATTCTATCCGGGCAGACTCTGTATGTGTTACTTCAGACTTAATACCTGTTTTTATGCAAATGTTTAAGCGATCTCGGACATACTGTGTCACCCCACCCCCCCTCTACCGATATTTCTATCTACTTGGAACAATTTAAAACCCTGAATGTGACATTCTGCATGGATGTCTCGACTTTTGGAAATAAACCGTTTCTCAGTGATGGCAAATACATCAATGTTACCTGCAATAGCAACTAATCTCAACTCGTCCATCGTATTCCTAGCACTACGGCTATTAGCATAATACAGTATATTTTTCAAGACCCTCCTTTCTCTTTACCCTTCCTGCTCATTTCTGTTTTTCCACTAAACCTATTACTGTCCTTGTCACCTAGTGCCACTGGCTTTCCAATATCCACCTCATTCTGCCTATTACTAGTTCCCCTAGAACTCATATTACTACACTGGGACTTCACTGTATTCCTGCCAAAACCCATACCACTAACTATTCCTAGTTTAAAGCCCTAACGGCTCCATCCACTGCAGTTGCCAGTGCCCCCACCCCAGACCTAGATAAGTGAACCCCATCCCTGGCATACATGTCATTTCTGCCACAGAAGAGGTCCCAGTTGTCAATGAACATAACTGCATTTTCCTTATAGTATTTGTCCAGCCAGCAATTGGCACCAACTGCCCTGGACAACCATTCATTTCCAACTCTTCTCCTTGGCAAAATATCACATATGACAGGGTTCCCACCCTTCTTCCTAATTATCTCTATTGCTGACCTATACCTGCTAATCAGGTCCTCACTCTTACATCTGCTGACATCATTGCCTCCCGCATTGAGGCAGATAATAGGACTGCTCCCATTACTTTTCATGATGTCGTCCAGACGGCTAACAATATCCCCCATCATAGACCCAGGAAAACATACCCTCTGCCTCCTCTTCCTGTCCCTAAAACAAAAGGCTCTATCAATAAACTTAACCTGACTGTCTCCAACTAAAACAATGTTCTTACCTTCACTTGTGGAATTCATCGTGATGTTCTCCATGGTCTTCGTTGGGGTTTCAAGGGATGTCTCACTCACGTCTGCCAATGCTTCCTTGGTGCTCGTTGTGACGTTCCCAGTAAATAACCTACATTTGTTAGGTAGCACCAAAAATGGGTTGGAAATTTCCACAGTAGTCATTTGGTTCTTCGTTGTTTCTGCCTCTCCAACAGTCTTCTTGATCCTCAACTTGGTTCCATGTTGGCTGGCCACTGACCAGGTTCCCCTCTTAACCTGAGGACTCACAACAGGAGGATTACTACGAATCCTCTTGTTCTCCTCCGTTAATTGCTGTATCTCCAGCTTAGCAACCCTAAGCTCCTCTTTTAGTTGCTGGTACAGTTGCTCAAGAGAGGACATCTTGGTTCAGATTCACAGAGAGCACACAGACAAGTCTTCACAGAGCTAAGTACAGGTCACCACTAGGTACAGGGACGGATAGAGAAAGTGTAGTAAGGGAGGGAATGTGGAAGCGGAGGTAGAAATGTAAGAGAAAAGAGGAGGAGGATGAGGTATAGGAGGAAGGGAATGTGGGAGGAGAAAGTGAATATGAGAGTGAGAGGGAGAAGTGAATAAGAGGGGGATAGAGCAAGAGGGAATGAATTAAGATGGAAAAAATTTAATCACACCCTGTTCTTTTTTTTTTTTTAAATTCAGAGTACTGTTGCTACATGTAGTCTACAAACCTTTTCTCTTAAAGCAAGTCCTTCCTTTTGCTCACGATCCAGGTTGAAAATTGAAACAGCATTCATGGTTCTTCCGCTACCAGACACAGAGTGCTTCCAACTCTCATCTCGACAGCTACATTCAAACATACATTCAATACGTCCACAATGCTCCATACCTAAATAAAGCGAAACACCCTTTATTAAAGACCATTAAAGAGAAGAGCTAAAGTTCTTTCTACAGTATAAATATTATGACACTGAAAACAACAAATACTGTACAAAAAATTATGATGAAGTATGGCTAAGTTGCCTGAATGTATAGTTCAATTCCCTTAAAATAAAAAATTACTACTTTTGATTGACACATCTGAAAGTTTAATTTTTAAAAATTTAAAGAACAGATATTAAAATCTTTTTCCCCACAAAAGAATCACTGAACAGGACTGAAAGCCTTTCAACAGTAATGAGTGTCATCCTAATATACAACAGGAAAATAAAATAATGAATGAATAACAATTAGATTGATACCAAACCTGACACAGTAAATATGAAATCGAAATAACTTACTTCTTCGTCGACAGGTTAGAGAGTCGCAGACACATCCCAATTTACAGTACTCATTACTGCAATTCTCCTTAGGTCCACTTTCCTCATCTATTTTATCTTCTGCTGTATTCTAAGAGGTAGATTGAAATACAATACTGTAGTGATAGACAATATTCAGAAAACAATATACATATACAATGTATATGTGTACTGTACTACAAATAAATAGTGAGAACATGTATAGCTGCACCTACATTTTTTTGTAACACACACACACACACACACACACACACACACACACACACACACACACACACACACACACACACACACACACACACACACACACGAGGCATGCATGCATGGGCACGTGCACACACACATACACAATTTTAATGAACTTTTATCATTAGTTTTCAATGTAGTGGTAATGTACCAAGCAAAATGACAACAAGCATCAAGACAAAAATATGATTGATGTCATTTATGAAACGGTCTTCTGCAAAATTATTAGTAGTCAGAGAAAAGTGGTAAATCCACTGGGAAAATAAGAGGCATTCAGCTCTGATCCAAGGAAGGGGAGAACAGGTCCAATGACTTGGATCAAGAGCTCCTCACTAGCATAAATGCAACTCCCTTGAGAGGGGGGAGGGGATGTCTTCAGTAAAAAACAAATTGTACAATATAATCAAACCACTTTTATTAAGAAGCCCATGAATTGCAACACTTAACTGTACTGTACAGGCAAACAACTAGAGTTCAGAATCTGATACAGTAGACTGTCATTTAACACGGTAGCTGCATCCCTGAAAACATCGTGGTAGTTAAAACCATGTTAGGCAAACTGAAGAACTCGTGGGAAAAATAGGGTTACGTTCCTTGGAGCCCACAAAAAGCCAAACAACTTTTTTTTTCGACCAACAGATCTCACAAAAATAAAAGTGAATATGTAATAGTAGTTCACAGTCATGATGTATTATGTTGTTTTTACTGCTTAACATTACATATGCAACAGAAATAATAGTATTTCCTACCTTAAATTGTGGGTCTTGGTGTTTGTGGATGATGATGGAGAATGGAGAGTTATTCTGTGACCCCACTGGGCTGAGGTGGATGGTAGAGGTTCTGGTACTGAAGTCGATGGTTGTACTAGGGAGTGCATAAATCAGTCAAGTCAGTAAGTCAATCAGTCAGTCTACTAAGCGAGTCAGTAAATCAGTCAAGTCAGTAAGTCAGTCAGTAAATTAATCAATTCAGTAAGTCAGTCAAGTTGTCAGCATAGTTGCTGATCCCCTTATATGTGTTGTATAGCATGTCATAGTACCATCCATGTGTTTACAAAGAAGATCCCTAGGCCGAGTGACTGTGTGACGTCACGGGATGCGCATGTGTACGTTCGTACCTCTGCCTCCTAAGTCGGCGCATAGACATCCAGGCCAGTGACACGGCAAGCTGGGCTCCATCTCCCATTACCACAGTCTGACAATATAGCGTTACCATCCAACAAGTGTGTCTATCTTCAACCCTCGATATCTCCTTTTAAGAACCCCTACGACAAATTGGTGACAGCGGAGGGCCTGTAATCCTGACGATTACAGCGATTTCTGGAGATAAATTTCTACTGGGCCGGTCGCCATCTTGTGAGTAGGCCTGCCGAGACCTACCCCAGCCAGCTACCTCAGCCAGTTCCTCCCGCCCAAGTTTCTACCAGCCACTACATTATTCACTGGTCAGTCTCCCTTGCTCATATTGCGTGTTATAGCGTTATTTTTTTCAACCGGGGAGAGTCATCCACTCCACTGAGTTTGTTCATTCCTCCAGTAAGAAAGAACCGATCCCTTGTGTTCTGGTGATTCGATTCCTGCTCCAGGAAGATCTTATTCTGACTGTGAAGCCACCAGCACCCATTAGTGACTTTGTAATGAGCCAAGAATTACTGTATCGAATAGTCGAGTTGAGTACTCCAAGCAGAAGAGTCTACCAGTTAATAATTCCACAGTCACTAGTGAATGTAGCTGTATCTTTTGTAGATACTCGTTCAGACTGTCCTCAGTTAAGGCATGTGTTAGCCATTGCAGAGGAATTTGATCCTCCCAGAGATGATAACCATTCTGCATATGTAAACCTCACCCTAGCAGAATTGGGTTTAAATGTACATAGTCTGTATAACTAGATGTCCGAGATGAAGTAAACTGTCAACTGTTCGTTATTAACTGATCAGTTTTTCAGAATTTTTTTTTTCGTATTCATGTTCCCTCCGTGTTCTGAGAATTTGACAGTAATGATCTGAGTGCACCAGATGCCTTTGCTGTTAATTTCACCTTGTACAGTGGACCCCCGGTTAACGATTTTAATCCGTGCAAGAGGGCTCATCGTTATGCGAAATAATCGTTATGCGAATGAATTTTCCCCATAAGAAATAATGGAAATAAAATTAATCCGTGCAAGACGCCCAAAAGTATGAAAAAATTTTTTTTTTACCACATGAAATGTTAATTTTAATACACACAAACTGAAAAAGGCATGCACAATTACATGACACTTACTTTTATTGAAGATCTGGTGATGATTGATGGGATGGGAGGAGGGGAGAGCATTATCTTCTTACTGTTTAGAAGGGGAATCCCCTTCCATTAGGACTTGAGGTAGCAAGTCCTTTTCTGGGGTTACTTCCCTTCTTCTTTTAATGCCACTAGGACCAGCTTGAGAGTCACTGGACCTCTGTCGCACAACAAATCTGTCCATAGAGCTCTGTACCTCCCGTTCCTTCAAGACTTTCCTAAAATGGGCCATAACATTGTCATTGAAATAGTCACCAGCACGGCTTGCAACAGCTGTGTCAGGGTGATTTTCATCTATAAAGGTTTGCAGTTCAACCCACTGTGCACACATTTCCTTAATCTTTGAAGTAGGCACAATGGATTCCACAACTGGCATAGGCTTCTCAGGGTTAGCCCCAAACCCTTCAAAATCTTTCTTAATTTCCATACTAATTCTCACCCTTTTTACCACAGGGTTGGCACTAGAAGCTTTCTTGGGGCCCATGGTCACTTATTTTCCAGAAACAGCACCGAAAACACTGTAATAATACGAAATATTCCGAGTGTATGCTTGGATGTTACCGCGGAGGCTGGCTGGTAAACAATGGGACGGCCGGCACATGTGAGGGCACATTGGACGCGTCTCGGACGAAAATCGGTAAGCGGGTTTTTAATCGGTATGCGCGGCAAAAATTTTGCGATAAAAGTAATCGGTATGCGGAAAAATCGCTATGTGATGCCATCGTTATGCGGGGGTCCACTGTATATATATATATATATATATATTTATTCTTCCTCAGAATCCTTAGAGTGCATGAATATAGATCGATCGATCAATTCCATCCATATTGTACAATGAATTGTTCTTATAAGTCGTAATGCATTACGTTAAAAGTGATTACGTTAACACCCATTACGTAAAACTCATTTTGTTAACATTCATTATGATACCATCCATTAGTTCTAAGTTATATATGAATTTGTTATTGTATAGAATCAGCCCAGAACCACCTGCCTGTTCAGCCTATAGGATAGTAGTGTATGTCGAGACGACATACGTAACATGACCGAGCTGTCAGCATAGTTGCTGATCCCCTTATGTGTGTTGTATAGCATATCATAGTACCATCCATGTGTTTACATAGAAGATCCCTAGGCCGAGTGACTGTGTGACGTCACAGGACGCGCATGTGTACGTTTGTACCTCTGCCTCCTTCTCAGTCGGCGCATAGACATCCAGGCCAGTGACACGGCAAGCTGGGCTCCATCTCCCATTACCACGGTCTGACAATATAGCGTTACCATCCAACAAGTGTGTCTATCTTCAACCCTCGATATCTCCTTTTAAGAACCCCTACGACAAAGTCAGTCAGTCAAGTGAGTCGAGTCAAGTCAGTTAGTCAGTCAATCACACAAACTCATATTTACTCAAACTGAACTGTGTTAAGTTAGTTTTTTTGAAGTGTTATACAAAAATGTGCCGCAATTCTTCAATAGTGCTATAACCAAAATGTGCCAAACGAAACCATGTTAAACTACGGTCTACTGTACTTCAGATACGTAATTGGAAAGATTATTTTGGCTCAGATTCTGACTTGGTTTTTAACTTTTATTGCTTAACCCTTTGACTGTTTCCGACGTATAAATACGTCTTACGAGCCAATGTTTCTGACGTATTTATACGCATAAATTCTAGCAGCTTCAAATCAAGCAGAAGAAAGCTGGTAGGCCCACATGTGAGAGAATGGGTCTCCATGGTCAGTGTGCACCATATGAAAAAAATCGGGGAGCCAGTGGTGCATTGTGGGAATGCCATTTCAGTTGTCCTTTTTCAGCATGTCTAGCGGTAAGAAATATGTGATTCCCCAGCAAATCTGGGACTCTTCTCTTCCCAAGTGATGCTCTAACACAGATGGAAGTGTCAGTGAAGATCAATTTCATGATTTGGAGGAGTTTGAGACCAAAAGCAATGGAGGAGGAGGAGGGGAGGAAGAGGAGGAGGAGGAGGAGGAGGAGGAGGAGGAGGAGGAGGAGGGAAGGAAGAGGAGGAGGAGGAGGAGGAGGAGAAGAGGAGGAGGAGGAGGAGGAGGAGGAGGAGGAGGAGAAGAAGGAGGAGGAGGAGGAGGAGGAGAGGAAGAAGAAGATGTAATAATATTGTTCCCTTGAAGCAAGAAAAAAAAAAGTCCACCCCATGACAGTGACAAGATAAGGGGAGATAACATCTGATAAGAGCTGACTTTGATGAGCGTAAAGGAGGGTAATATTACATGACCATCGCCCTCCCTTTGTTTTTGCTGGTACACAAACATTTGTCTGTCTGTCTATTTGTCTGTCTGTCAAGCTCCCTGTCTGTCCATCTAGCTCTCTGTCTCAGAGAGAGCCACAAGACTGTGTCATCACGTTTACTCACATCTTCAAGCAGAGTATAGCACTTTGTCTGGATTTCTTGGGTTATCCTAGGTAATTTACACTATGTATACTTGTATTTATGTGTACCTGTGAGACAGAGATAGGCAGACAGATAGAAAGAGAGACAGATTGAAAGATATAGAATGAGGGAGAAAGATAATTAGATAGAATGGAGGAGGGG